ACAGCGCCGGCGGGAACAGACATGCCTGCGGCCAAGAAGCAGAAGCTGAGCAGCGATGAAAACAGCAACCCGGACCTCTCTGGAGACGAGAATGTGAGTGCAGCCCTGAGCATTCCAGACGGGACTCTGGAGTGAAAGTTTTAAATTCTTTTTAAACTGTGGGTGCGGGGGCGGGCGGGCGGGCGGCTGTGGGGGGAGGGAGAGGTGTCACCCTCTATTCAGGAAAACGCGGGCGTGGAGGAGAAAATCGAACTTGTCTCTAAGAGGATTTTGATCTGGGGCCGAGAGCGAGCGGAAACTTGGCGAAAGAGAGTGGTTTAAGAGAGCGTGGTGGTAGAGGGTCAGAGGGGTTTGCTCTGAGATTTTTAAGCGTGGATGAGGAGTGTTCGGGCCTTTGGGAGATTTGGGGAGAGTGCGGATCTGAGATTCCAGTAGTTTAAAAGGCAAGTTAGAGGCTTATCTGAGAAAGTTGGAAGGAGGGACCAGCGTGTGTTACGGACTTTTTAGAAGGAATTTAGGGACCGTGTCACTCCAGGATGAAAAGAGTAGATTCCAGACGTAAGGGATTTCGGTGACTTGGGGCTTTTATGTCTGCTCCTGTCTTGTCCATGGAAAAGGGGTGTGTGCCTGACAGTCGACTTCTCTTAAGGAAGAGAATTGAGAGGGTCGTCCACTGACTTGGAGGGGGAAACGACTCTTGAGGAAGGACTGAGAAGGGATAGTTACTTTACTCTGTTTTAAGTTTTCACTGAGGGGACGACCTAGGAGATCTTAGGCAGTTGTGATGTCTTTGGGTGTGGGTTCTTGACCTCGCACGTGTAAGGTGCTTTGGAATCATATATATATATATATATATTTTTTTTTTAACTCTGAATGGATCTTGGTAGTACTCTAGTCCGTCCCAACAGTTGACCCCCCTGTGTTTAGGTGATACGCCGGTAACAACCGAATTGGCATTTTCATGTTTTAAGCTTGTACCCAATATGGTCAGCAAAATATCTGGACAGTTTAGAGAGATTGCTGTAAAACGTGAACCCTCCAAGGTAATAAAATCTAATTATCTTTTTAAAATCTTTAAAGTATTATAGGAGGGTGGTTTAAGTTCTTCCTTTTCTCAGTTTGGCTAGTGTTAGGAATAAATGTTATATCTTACGCAGTCCGTTCCTAAATTCTACATGACTGCATCACTGACTGAAGCGTATATATTGCATGGTATCCTGACCAAAATTTTAACTGAACAGATGGGAAAGAATTCTTGTTGCAGATAGAAGAAATTTATTTGGAGGATTGTCAGTTTGTGGGATTTAGATCCGACATTTCTGGAAGGCTTAGGTGTTGAATGTTATTTTAAACTTGTTTTTCCTGTTTGTGCTTTCCAATCTTACTATGTACTGGGGTCTGACATTTTTGACCCTCTTCATTCCAACATCTGAAGCCTGTTTTATTTCCACTTCTTAAATTTCTCTAGGCATATTAGGTTAGTGACTAGAAGCACAAACTAGATCCAACTGTTAGGTTAAAATCCCCATCTGCTACTTACTGTTTGCTTGACCTTGAGGAAGATACCTGACCTAGTTGCCTCAGATTCTTATCTTAAAAATGGAGATAATAAGGGTATTTACCTCATGGGATATTTGTGAGGATTAAATGAGGTAAAATAGGTAAAGTGCTTAAAAGAGTGCCTGCTCTTTAATAAGTACTATACAAGTGTTACTTAATTACTATTACTTATTTTGTAATCAGTCTAGTCTTATGTTTCTGGCTCTTTCACATACTGAATAATTGGGCAGAAATGTAATGAAAATGTTAACCTATATAGACAGAGGAAAATTTGAGGGGACTAATTAAATTGAAAATTATTTTCTTTTTACAGATCCTTAAGAGGAATATATTCTTTGATGCATGTCAAAGCTCTTCAGAACTAGATGATTAGATTAAGCCTATGTTTTGATGATTGGATTAAGCCTATGTTTTGGTTCCTCCATTTGGATAGTGACTTTTAACCTTTTTTGTGCCTTGGACACCTTAATGAATCCTGTGAAACCTTCTCAGAATAATATTTTCAAGTGTATAAAATATAATATATATGGTTACAAACAAAGTCAACAGTAAAATTACAAACTATGTTATAAAAACTTTTAAAACAAATTTAAGATTTATTTCGATAAATAAAGTACTTTAATATAAAGTACTTCTTTATTAACACATTAAGTAACTAGATCTAACAGTGGAGATAATAGTTGGGCATAGACAGTTTTTAAGATCAACAACTGTGACGTACAAAAATACTTGATTTCCTTTGGTAAGAAAGTTACAGCTACAGTAACATTGGCATGTATCTACCTGCATTACAATAGAAGGAAGTATAGATTTTAGTTAAAGATGGTGAAAATCAAGATGCAATTTAAAATTTTCTTTTTTTGTTTTTGGCCACATAAGTTCACAGGCCCTCTGAATTCCATCCAAGGACCCAGATCTAGGACATAAATTAGGGGAAGCAATAAGGGAAGGGAGTAGAGAGCTCTGTGTAAAAAACTGAGTTCAGAAAAAGATAACAAGGGCAGTGGTTTTACTCTTGGAGAGAGCTAAATAATGGTAAGAAGGCTAAAAGCAAGTGGGGGAAAGACTGTGTTTTTGAATTGGAGTTAAGGTATTACCTGAGCAGTTGCTACTGTTAAGTGAATAAAAGAATTGAAAGGATATTCAAATTTTCCTTTAATTGAGGTATAGTTGACTAGTTATATTATTAGTTTCAGGTGCACAACATAATGATTTGATACTTGTATACATTGCTGAATGATAACCACAATAAGCCTAGTTAACATCTGGCCTATTTTAAATTTATTGTATATGTATCTGCCATTTTATTAACCTTTCATATTACTGCAGAGTAGGTAGCTTCTGGAATAGGACTAATTGTTGCCTGATAGATCAGAAGGCTGAATCTGGAGACTTGTTTTTTGCTTAAGTAACCTGTGGCAAGATTAAGGGTCAAATTACTATGCCTGTTACCTTGTTGAGCAAATGAAGACGGTAGTGCCATATCTGTTGCACAGTTCCATTCTCTACTTTGAGGAGGGGCCAAGGTGGAAATCTGCTTGTATACATATTAGACATTCAGCAAAGGTTTGAATTTAAAGATAAAATGAACCACCTATTGCATTTCCATTTGATTCCATCTATTAGGATGCCTGTCTGAGGATGGGGTAAATTAACTGGTCAAAAGTAAGAAATACATACATGTAATGTGTCTCAATTATTAACAATGGTTTATGTGGCTTCTTGATTAGCAGATGAATTTTTAGCCAGAATGGAAAGAAGCTGGTGAATAAAGGTCTAATTGTCTTATTGTTTCATTTCTGTAATGTTAAAGATATTTTTCAGAAAAGGTAATTTTCAGATACACTTTACTCATGTGAGGGAACTGGGCAAGTGTAAGTCAAGCAGTACAAACTCATGTGGATTAAAGGAATGTAGAGATGAAATTGCAAATGGAGACAAAAACTTTTCAGAGTGGAAGGGAAGACATTCTGAACCTCTGCCTTTGGATTCTCCACAACATAAGAGATGTGAGATTGTTCAAAGGCAACAGAGTCTGATAACATGGAAGAGCGTGCTGTAGCCAACGCGGTTTTCCATTGAAACACAAAATTGTTTTCTACGCTAGGTTTTAACTGTGTAAATACAACTAAAGGATGGGGAGAAACAGAGATAAAAATAGTGATTTCAGTCTAGAAACTGAACTTTAAATTTTACACTTTCTATATCTATAAAAGCTGATTATATTTACATTAAATTACATTTCAGATATTAAGCACTACTGTGTGACATCTGTCTCCTTCATTCCCTTTTTCACCCTGGGTAATCAGTATGTTCTAGAATAATTTGTGTATTTTTTAAAAAAGCATGTCATTTTGGTAGGAGCCATTTGAAATTTTGAAAACCACCCCTTAGAATGATGTATAATACTATATTGATTTTAAGGTAAATTTTTTTATGCTTTTTGATACTCCAGTTAATTTTTGACCTTCTGTAATATTATAAAACCAGCAATATGTTAAAAGTCCCTAAGGCAATGATACCCAGACTGTGTTCTCATAGATGTTAATAGGCACTCCATGAAAAAAAGCTTCTGCTGGAATGAATTTAATAACTACTGCCCGAAGGTGATAGGTTTAAATAAATCTGTTTTCCAGACAACAGTTTAAAATGTGTCATCAGAAGAGTTAGTGAAATTCTCTTCTGAAAATAGAGGGCCATTAATATATCTTGTGGACTGGAGATAGGGTATAAATTAGGTGAATTTTCAAGGTTTCCTGTAGTCATTTTGACATTTGGAAGATTTCTACTTTATAGTAAGTTTCTGGATCTCTAATATATGCGTCTTAGTATTTTAGAGCTATGAGTCAGATTTCACTTGTGAATAGCACAGACTATGTAGGACTTAAAAAAAATCCTAAATGGGTTAAGTATTATAAATAAGCAGAATTTGAATGATAACAGGATTTTCAGAAACATCTAAAGTGGGAAGCACTAACATTCTAGCCTCAAAGGCTATCCACTCCCAAGCCCCAGGCTGAACAGCAGTGAAGTAAATTATGAAGACTTGTAGGTCAGTCAGATTTAGGAGTCACAGCTTTGGTTTTGAGTTCCAACAACCCTAACCAGCAAGATACCACGTAGGGTCTCTAAGCAACACTTTCTTATCTAACTTTCTATGAGGAGCAGTAAAGGTCAAGTGAGATGGGGTGGTAATAGCTCAGAGGACCTGGGTTCTATCCCTGGTACTGCCATTAAAAAAAAAAGAGTAAGAAAAATAAAAGAGTTTACTTAAAAAATAAAGATGAATGGGGCAGTGTTGTAAAATGGCTAGCACAGACCAGTGCCTTGTTATTTAAGTGCAGAATTATTCTGACCATTATCATCATTATGATTAGGTTTTTTTGTTTATATTTTTGCTGAAATATCAAATATCCACAAATCCTAATGTGTAGCTGGTTTGTTTTTTATTCTTATTTGGAGATAGGAATAAATTTTTTCCTCTCTTGCAGGATTCACTAATTACTTTCAGGTCAGTCAGCAGGTACGCAGTATGAAGTCATTTGCTGCTAAGTACAGTATTGCTGTTTCATATAATTTTTTTCTGATTTGCTGCTTACAGGATGATGCTGTCAGTATAGAAAGTGGTACAAACACTGAACGCCCTGATACACCTACAAATACGCCAAATGCGCCTGGAAGGAAGAGTTGGGGGAAGGGAAAATGGAAGTCAAAGAAATGCAAATATTCTTTCAAATGTGTAAATAGTCTCAAGGTATGTGCAGAAAGACACAGTCTGTGGACTGAATGCTGGGCTCCAGAATTATTTCTCAGTGGTAAATATTTTATGCTCAAGATACTCTGTCAAGTTATAAATATTTTAAAATTATAATACGTTGACTGTGTTTTTTTGTAGGGCAGACTTCAGGAGTCTGCTTGGCATTTAGCTTATCAGACTGTGGTGTTCATATAACATTGAAGTGTTGATTTTGTAGTAAACTTGTAGGGCAGTATACCATTATAATCCATTCTACATTTGTTTAGCTTCTTTGTTGTTGTTGTTGTTTTAAATTAAAATAGGTAATGCCTAGTATTACAGTCTGGTTTTTCTTTATTGTTTTTATTCAAATAAAAGATTTTTGGAAATGTTACTCTTTATATTTTGGTAAAACTTGAAAGCATAAGCCACTTCCTGGTACCCGTTACTAAAAAGAACTGAATGTGACTCATTAACTTTGAGTTAACTTAAATTGAAACAGATGTCTTACTTTGTGCAGTCTTTAAAAGTTTAACTTTTATTTGTACTTTTTTAAAAAGAGAAAGGTATAAATTTAAAAATTTCTTCAATATTCAGTATTTGGGGAAAACAAAAGGTTGGAGCTACTTAGATTACTGTCTTCCTCAGTAGTCTTTTTATTTATAAAAAGAATTACTTATAGCTATTTAAAATGTTTGTTTTTACATCTGTTCATTTCCTGTTTTTTAAATTTGGGATTAGTTTTCCTATGCTGAGAAAAAATAAACATCTTAAAATAGCTAAACACACTTTTTAGGTAAAGTCTTCGGAAAGCATAAGGAGCTATGGCTACATGGAAATTATTTTCCTGTCTGTGTAGCAAACTTCAGGGGAAGGGTATATATATCTCAGTGGTAGAGTGCTTACCTGCTGGGTTCAATCCGAAGGCTGAAAAATAACTTTGTGAATAAAACTGCATATTTTTTTTTAAATACCTCCTTACAGCATCCTGGTAACTGGGAAGTTACAATCCACTGCCTCCTCTGGTCCTCTCTGTTCAAGTATTATTGTCTATCGTAGAAATTAAGATGTTTTTCTTTTGTACCCAAATTCAAGGTTATTTGAAATGGTTTCTATAGGACTAATATAAAGCAGTGATTTGAATGGAGTCTGATAATGAATGCTTTACTTTACAAGGGAAGAATCAAACCTAATAAAGTTTAACGAGTACTGGAGAAGATATATTAACTATTAGGTTGTTTGTTATTTCAGAAAAATAAATTATGTCCTTATGTCCTAAGAGATTAAATATGTCTGCCACAATTAATCCACTTTATTTTGATTCATTAGAATACAGTTGTGTTTAAGAAAATAGAAGGCAACTATCAAATGATGAGTATTTGCTACCTAATGGCTGATTTAAGTCTTTAATGTTATAAAACTTTATCATGCACCAGTATTTTAAAATGTGAAAACTGGACTAACATACCTTTTAAGTGTCAAAAGTCAGTTTATCTATGATATATGAAATAGCAGCTTGCATTTTGGAAAAAGTTATAAGGGGGAATGGTCAGTTTACTGCCATTTTTCGTTCCTAAAATACATTAATTTTTCTTACTTTTTCATTATTTTATAGGAAGATCATAACCAACCATTGTTTGGAGTTCAGTTTAACTGGCACAGTAAAGAAGGAGATCCATTAGTGTTTGCAACAGTAGGAAGCAACAGAGTGAGTGTTAAGGAGTCTGCTTGGCATTTAGCTTATCAGACTGTGGTGTTCGTATAACACTGAAGTGTTGATTTTGGAGTGAACTTTGTATAGCTGGTTTGACAGTATTGTTCCTTTATGTAAAAGTGATGCATTCTAGAAATTGTCAAAAATTAAAACTGGTATTCATGACTGAAAATACATCTTTATTTCATATATATTCCCAGTCGTTCATGAAACAGGTTTTTGTTTATACTTTTTTTTAATAAATATTTTGTTTTGAGTGGCTGGAAGAATTGACTTTGCTTTTTGGAAGTGATTTTAATAGTTTGTCAAATTTGGGTAAGAAGTCTGTGACTTTTGAAAAATAATAAGCATAATTAGTTGCTCTCTACAAATGTAAAGCATAAATCCAGGGAATTTATATAATAGTTATTGAAAGTATTTTAATTATTTGCAATAAATAATTTGTTTTTAATTGTTTTTATTTAAGGAAGCCAAGAGTATCTTGAACTGAGAGAAGTGCATGGAAAAAACCAGGCTGGGGACATTTTGATGTAAACAATTATTTAACTTTTTAGTTAAACCTGGGGCTGAAAAAGTGGATTACAAAGGCTTTTTTCACTTCCATTCACTTCTGAATAAATGAGAAAAAGGAAGAGTCCCTAGTGCTTTCCCGGCAGTCTCAGGAGTTTTCTATTAAATTGAAATCACCTCAGAAAAAAATGTTCTAAGTCATTTATTAATTTACATTCTGGTAATCCATTGATACTGTGCTAAGAGTTATGAGAAATAACAGAGAAATAGATTGGTGTATTTGGAAAAAGAAAGATGGAGAAAATTGACTAATTGGATATAGTTGACAGTAAACAAAGTCACTTTCTCTTCCTTTAGCCGAAGAGGAGAAGGGAGGGAGGTGAATCTGATAAGTGTTCCATAAGTTGTTATTTTAATTGAGTAAAATAAAGTTTTATACTTCTTTAATAATTGTGCTAAGCCTCTTAAAAGAACATGATTTCTAATGCACACTTTTCCTATATTTTTGTTTCTTAGTGTTGATATTTTCTGTTTCCAGTCGAAACTTAACTCGATAACAAAGGAATTGTTTAGCTCTGTATCTTTCAAATGTCAGCATATTTCCAAGCTTTTTAAATTTTTTCTTCTGAAAAAATCATTAACATTTGAGAATCATAAACATATGCATCTATTCTGGGTTAGATCCTTCCTGTTGTTTCTAAAAAGTAAAATTTGGCTTTAAGTAATTTCCTTGAAGTCTTTAAGGAAGTTTTAATTACATTTAAGGCTCTAATGCTTTTATTAGGTTATTGAAATTCTGAAAATTTGAAACTTGCTACTGAAGTTGAATACCTGGGATAACAGCTTTTTTGTGTTTTCAGTCAAATGTAGGTTGTGATAAATAGCGTGAAAACAATTCAGAAGGAAATTGATGTAGTTTGAAGAAAAGATTAAAGATTTTTTTCAAAAAATTGGAAAAATAATTCATTAATTTGAATCCATTTTTAAGACATCACTATAAACCTAAGATTATACTTCTCTACCTTTGTCATGATATTAATAGAATTAGAATTAGTATAATGTCCTTCCTTTTAATAGAATACATAATAAGCTTCAGTGTCTAGCTCTGAATGACAATGATCAGAGTGTTTGTACTTATCCGGTTCAAGAACAAGAGTTTTCTATTTTGTAAAAGAGATTAGGAAATCTCCCATTTGTTTTGTGATCCTGAACAAGATGACATGGAATTGGAATTAGAATGTTTTTGGAAATGTGAGAGTACTTAGTAATATGGATTGGGCTAAGAATTAGAAAAATAAATGTAAAAATAGTTTAAAAAAAAAGAATTATTATAATTTGTGCTCCAATATGCTTATTGTAATGTTCTAGGCTTCCTAACAAAAGAATCCCTGTTCTCATTTAAAGTGACATTGAATTAAGTTTACTGAATTATAAAAAGGTCTGTTTGGACTTCTTTTTTTGAAAAAGAAACAAAACAATCTCTTAGGACATAACCTAGTTAGCGTCTATATAAGGCTTTTTTTTTTAAAGAATATTAATGTAGAGATTTTATCTTATTAATTTAATAGGTGATAATAGATGATTTAAAGGATCTTTATAGAGTTCTCATAGACTCTTAGCAGTAATCTGTTGTTAATGTTAAGAAGAGTAACATGACCAAGCTGTAAGAAAAAATGGAAAAAAATTTACAAAAATTTAGTATTCAAGTGTCAGCCCTCTGTATCCGTGGGTTCCACATCCATCAATTCAGCCAACTGTGGATCAAAGATATTTGGAAAAGAAAATTCCAGAAAGTTTCAAAAAGCAAAACTTGAATTTGTTTCACACTGGCAACTATTTATACAGCATTTACGTTGTATTAGCTATCATAATAGTCTAGAGATGGCTTAAAATATATGAGAGGATGTGTGTAGGTGATATGCAAATACTGTGCCATTTTTATCTAAAGGACTTATGTATCCTCAGATTTTGGTATCTGGGGGGGCTCTGCAATTCCCTGCGGGGATATTGAGGGACAACTGTACATAACTGAATAAAGTGTATGTATTATTAATTTTGGAATTTATGACTAATGAAAAGGGCCACTGTACATTAGAAAGTTAATATTTGATAAGGAATATCCATGAGAAAATTTAGGCAAGTTTTAGATTTTCTTATATGTAATTAATACGTAAATACTCTAAAACTACCCAAAGACTTTAAGAACTTAAAAGAGTATAAACCAAAATTTTAGGAAGTAGTTATACTTTACTGTGAAGTATTCAACTTTATTTACGTTGAAGAGTTAATGAAATTACATGGGTGAGATATAAGTTAAAAACATTGGAAACAGAAACCATTATTATTACTACAGTATTTAATATACTCTGGAAATTATGTAAAGCACTAGGCTTTATAATGGCTTCCTTAAGTTTAAAGGAGTTATTTTAAAGAAAAAGTCTTGAGATACATTTGTGACTAAAATAATGTTCAAAAGCTGAAGAGTGGGATTCTGTATTTGAGATAAAATTTACTGTATTTTTGTTCTCATTAGGTCACCTTATATGAATGTCATTCACAAGGAGAAATCCGGTTGTTGCAGTCTTATGTGGATGCTGATGTATCCTTTCCTGGGTTTTCAATAACGTTGGCTAAAGAAATTGACTTTCAATAAGGACACTGAAACTTTTGTAAATTAATTAGTTCCCTGAAGTTACAATTGTCCTTTCCTAACTTTAACCAGTGCTGTTCCTTCACTGTCACCCAGGAGATCCCTGGTATCTAGTTTTCCTGATCTGTAGAAATCCATTTTAGGGTGAATATGAGGGAGGAGGGTGCAGGTGGCTGGAGATGAGCATTGGAAATCCAGTGATAGAAAATGAAAGCAGAGAGTAGCTAAAACTTCCTGTTTCTTTGACCTTGCTTAGGATTTTATCATTTCAGGCCAGTTATATTGATGAACTTGGGTTGATCAGAAGCTGTTACTGGCAGTCATACCCAGTATTTGGTCAACAAAGCCTACAGGGAAAAAAGTAAACGTGCAATTTGTTTAGGAAATAAAATATTGGAAAACATGGGTTTATAAAGAAAAAGAAGGCTTAAAAAAGCCAAAGGGTATAGCAGTCAGAGCTTGGTGATAAGATTTCTAGATCTATTTGAAAACCCTAGTAAATAAAAAGCAAGGACATTCAGTCCTTCAGTAGGTGATACGGAAACAAGTGACCTGTAGCCATATTGTGACCGTCTCACATAGGAAAAGGTAGAAAACTGAACAGTTATTCATCTTTATCTTGAGGCACGTAGAAGTACTGAAATAGAGCCAGGGTCAGCAAATTACAGCCTGTGGAGCTGGCCACCTATTTTTGTAAATAAATTTTTATTGGGACACAACCATGCCCATTCATTTACATACTGTCTTTGGCTGCTTTCAAGAGACAGAGTTAAGTAGTTATGCAAACAGCAAAATAGTGTTCAAAATTCAGTGGAAGGACTCTGTTTGACCATTTGGTATAGATTTTAGATGTAAAATCTCCATTGTTTAAATCTGGTAGTATAAAGAAAAATGAGAACTTCTTTGTCAAAAACTTCAGCAGTTCTTTGGAGGTTTCCGTGTATCGTATTGTAACTATTGATGTATTTACTTTTCAAAAACAAGTTATATTTCTTAACTGGCATTTCTTAGGCTGATGAAAACTTTTACACTTGTGCATGGACATATGATAGCAATACAAGCCATCCTCTGCTGGCTGTAGCTGGATCTAGAGGCATAATTAGGATAATTAATCCCATAACAATGCAGTGCATAAAGGTGGGTTTTCTTGTTAAATTGTAGATCTGTTTTTTTTTTAATGCACAGCTGTGCAAACTCGTCATGTTGAATTTAAAATGGAGTCAATGTCTGTTCAGTTTCTAATTTGATTTGTACTTTGCCTGTTGCTTCCTTTAGACAAGTCTTTTGAGACCTCTGTCATATTTGGGTAATGCAAATTAAGGAATAAGTGAGAAAATTTTATCATTTGCACTATTTTCTTTTAAAATCATTTCTGTCCTTTTGCATTGCATTATTTTGAGAGGCTCTAAGTGAACAGTAACAAAAGAGTGAACTCATTTTTCAAGACTCCCTAAATAGGGGTATAGAGTCAAGGGCACTCTGTAAAGAACTGAAAGATGAAGCCTTGGAAGTTGATACTAAAAGAAATTTTACAAATCACCTTAACCCTGGGGGTACGTTAGAATCACCTGAGGATCTTTTAAATCCTTGCTGTGGCTCAGAATATCTGCAGATGGGATTTGAGCATGTATTATTTTTCCTTCAAGTTTGGTGATTTTAATATATGCAGCCAAGGTTGAAAACCACCGCTTTAAATGAAACTTTTTCCATTCTCTTAAGATTAATAAAAACAACTTAATTGGTTTTGATATGAAATTTGAAATGTTTTAAATTTATTATAGCACTATGTTGGCCATGGAAATGCTATCAATGAGCTGAAATTCCACCCAAGAGATCCAAATCTTCTACTGTCAGTAAGTAAAGGTAAGAGAAGCAAATGTTTCTTTAGTTCTTTTTGTTTGGGAGTGAGTTTTTTTAAAGGGACATCTATTAAGGGAAAGAAGTAAGTTTTAGAAAAAGCTTAAGCTGCATTAGCATTCCTAAACCAAGAACTGGGGAATGGGACCATGAAATACACTGGTAACCTAGGATGTAAATAAAATAATTGGTACTGAGGATTAGGTATGTGTTACCCTTCTTATTTACCATATTGCTTTATGACAATTCTGGAACTTTATCCTCAATTGAATTATTATATTAAACTTCATTAATTGGTGGCAAAATTATGACATTTTTAATAGTTTGAAGGTGATTTTGCAAATCATCTGATCACTCTTCCCCATCACATAATAATAAATAACACATCTGAAAATCTATACTGCATATATATATAAGTATATAAATATAAAGCTTCTGTTTTATAAAAGGTTCCCCTTTAGAATTTCTTAAAATGCTAAGTTACCCAGTGTAAGCTCTTTGAAATGTTTCCCTTGTAAAGAGAAAGCATTGCCTTGCTCTGTATGCCTATATCAGCATTATAAGTTTATTATGGGTTCAGACAGGCCTCTTAATCATTCTTAATCATTTCTGAGCTCTCTGAAATGATTTGGGTTGTTCTTATTTCTACATTCTGTCTTGAATGCCCTTTCTCTTTTTCATTTCTACGTTATTCTAGTCAAATTTATTCTTAACAGCTTGTCACACCTATAACCTACCCCTGCAATCTGCTCATATTAAAAGATGTCTTCAAATTAAAACTTACATGAAAAATGTTTCAGTGTGACTTTTCTTTAACCACCAAGGCTTGTTTGGAAATAGATACCAAAGAAGAGAGCTGATAACTTTTTCTTTTCTTTTAATAACAGTAGCTGAGCCTCAGGTATTCCTTTACAAGTGACATAGACCATAATGCCTCACTTATTCTTAATATCACAACTTTTTAGCCCTGCTCTTCCCCCATTGTGTCAGTAAGAGCATTTAAAAAATAACCAGTCTTTCAAATTAAATTTTTCTGCAAATAATACTGTCAAGAAAGGAAAAGACATCCTATAGAATAGGAAAAAAAAATTTGCAAATTGTATCTAATAAGGAACTTGTATCAATAAGGTCATACAGTTCAGTGATAAAAAGACAGCCAAATTAAAAATGGGGAAAGTTTTTGAATAGACATCTTTCCAGAGAATATGCATAAATATCCAATAAGCACATGGAAAAGCACTCAGTATTATTAATCATTAAGGAAATGCAAATCAAAAACATAGTGAGATAACACTTCACACCTACTAGGATGGCTGTAGTCAAAAAGACAGACAGTAAAAATACGTTGAATAGGATGTGGAGAAATTGGAATCCCCTCATCCATTGCTGGTTGGAATGTAAAATGTAAGCACATTGAAAAACAGTCTGGCAGTTTTTTACAAAGTTAAACATAGGAATACCACTCCTAGGTATGTATATCTTCAAGAGAAGTAAAAATAAATGGCCACACAAAAACTTGGACACAAATTGGAAACTACATCTTTATAGCAGTGTTAATTTCCACTAACACAATGTGTTATTGCCTCTTAGTGTTACCTGTGTACTATGTTAATATTCATGTACAGTATGGACACTGTTGTATTTCAAGCTCTGCGTGGTATTTCTTAGGAATATTGTCTATTCTACATTGCTGATGTTTAGTGGGAAAGGAGATTGCTCAAATTACAGTTACAGAATTTTTAAAAGGTCCATAATACTCTAAAATTATGTCATGATGTATTTATCAATCCTATTTTTTGATTTACTATAGAAATTTTATACATCTACTCCATCCTTTTCAGTTTTAAATATGGATGTGTTGGAGGGAAAAGCTAGTATCTTGTTCTATGGCATAATGTAATAATCAAATTAGGATATTATTTAAAGAAAATTATTGGAGGTAAAAATAAGTTAAACATTTTTAGGACCACATAAATATTTCTTATCTTGAAAGTTTGAACTCATACCTAGTTCAATCTACAGGCGATATAAGTATTTTAAGTTGCTATATTATATGGATTCCTTCTTTGTCTTTACTGTTGAATAAGTTAGGTTCAAGCTTTGGTAGTTTTTTTTCCTTCTTTAAAGAGATTTTGAAAGACCACAGTAAATGAATGATAAAAGTTCATCTTAATTTTTTTATGTCTGTACTAGATCATGCTTTACGATTATGGAATATCCAAACGGACACTCTGGTGGCAATATTTGGAGGTGTAGAAGGGCACAGAGATGAAGTTCTAAGTGCTGTAAGTTGAAAGCTACAGGGCAGTGACCTTCAGATGTACAAAGCTGTGAACAATCCCCATAGAACTCTTTCTTTCTAAAAAAACCTAGGTTGGTTTCATCTAGCCTGGCAGACAGTTACTTCATATACTTGTGACAGACAAGGTTTTTATCTTACAGATGAAGAAATAAAGCGGGTGGGCTCTTTGTGTTTTATGTGTACTCTTGCACATTTTTATACCATGCCTGGATTCTCATGAAAGAATACTATGAACTTGTTTTTTTACTTTTTTAATCCTACCAAGTTAACTTTTGTTTTGCTGTTCCTCTGTTATTAAAGGAAAATATTAACCTACTTGGCAGTTTAGGAAGTTTCTCATCTTTTCTTTGAAGTTGAAATACAAGTTATTTTTAGGAAGTGTTTTATTGTGCTCACACTGAGTTTTAGATAACTCTTCCCTTTGATGTCATGGTGTTATCTTTATACTTAAATATTACAATCTGTTGATCTATAGTAATGATACGATGTAAGTGTTTTTAGTCAGGTTTCAGATTTTTACATTATTTTTTAGGTTTACTTATGTTCCATGTATAGCTTACTTATTTAGTAGTTTTACAGCTCTTCAATTCCTCTTTTGTTTTTTGAACTGTTTAAAGGGGCACCATAAGAAGCATGTGACATTTTAATTGGAGGTACTAAATATTCCTATAGTTAGGGTTTGTATGTTTTTGTGAGAATCATTTTCTACTTTAAAAGATTTTCTAGAACTTGCATCTTGGATTTTTGAGAAGTTGCAGTAGCATTCTCTACCTGGCTTTATGTGTGAAAAAGTTAAGACTACTCTTTATTAAAAACTCTGAGAGCTCCTGGCTCTAAGGATGTCTTGTTGCTGTTGACTGTGGGGTTATTAGGAAAAGTAGCAGCAGCCAGCCTTGAGAATTCAATAAATACCAAACCTAAACCTTTTAGACTCTAGTAAAACAGTGTGATTAATTCATGATTAATTCAAAGGTTGGATTGACAATATCTAGATTAGTGAGGAAAATACCCTCCTTAAATAGAACTCTCTACTCTTACTTCTTTTTTGGGGGCTGGGTAAGGTAGGTAATTAGGTTTATTTACATATTATCTTTAGTGGAAGTACTGGGGATTGAACCCAGGATCTCATGCATGCTAGGCATGCACTCTACCACTGAGCTATATCCTCCCCCGTCTGCTGTAATTTCTTAAAATGAGAGCAGGAGATCATCTGAATTGCTTCTCTATAATAATAGGAGTTCATTACTAGAATGATTGATGTGTGAGATATTCATTAACACATGTACCATGTGCTAAATTAAATACCATCTCTGTGCCTCAGTGTCTTATCTCTGAAATTAAATAAGGCTTTTACAATAGATGATCTGTTAGCTGCTACTTCAAAATTAATAAACAGCAAATGAAAAACTTTAAATATGTTTTTTCCTTTTTGAGACTTTTTTCCTTTATTCATTTTAAAATTGAATTTTGGGGAAATAATTTATATATTTAATTTAAGATTTTCTGTTTTACATACAGGATTATGATCTTTTGGGTGAAAAAATAATGTCCTGTGGTATGGATCACTCTCTTAAACTTTGGAGGATCAATTCAAAGAGAATGATAAATGCAATTAAGGAATCTTATGATTATAACCCAAATAAAACTAACAGGTAACAGTTGTAGTATTTAAAACAATTTGCTGTCTCATGCTGTTGGAATAGCATTTTACTTTTTCCAGAATCGCTATATAAGTCTTTAACATTGAATATAGAATCCCTTCCTATTTTTTTTTAATTCGAGCATAGCTGATTTTCAATACTGTATGTCCAGTATATATAGCAAGGTGTAGAATCCCCCTTTTAATAACTTTAAGGTATAATTTATATGCCGTAAAATTCACTGATTTTAAATGGAAGCCCTTTATTTTTATCTGTTTGTGGCTCATTTTTCAAAATCCCTTTAAATTGTATTTTTATCTTAATTTAGTAGCACATTTTACTTATTTTTACTTAGGTATGTATGCATATGCTCATGTTATTAGTACTGTTTGTCAACACTGTAAATTCTAATTCAAGACAGTAAATCATAATTTTTTGAATGGGGTTCTTAGCTTTATTTCATAATAACACAAGGCTTTCCTTTAAATGATAACTCACTTCATTAAATGAAGAAAATTCAGAAGGGGGAGCTTTGATCCAAGGGAACTTTGCAGTTTTCTTAATATATTTTTAAGGATATCTTTTATTTTATTTTTATTTTTATTTTATTGGAGGAGGTAATTAGGTTTATTTATTTTTGATGAACGTACTGGGGATTGAACCCAGGACCTCATGCATGCTAAGCATGCACTTTATCATTGAGCTAAACCCTCCCCCTTAATATATTTTTGAAATACCTCAATTCTTAAATTTTTTTACTCTCTTTTTCAGAATCTTACCAAGCTGTTATTAATACTTTCACTATGACTATCATATGTCTGTGATGTTAACTTTGTTTGCACTGTCCATTTTAGCTGAGTTAATTTTCTAGTTATCAAGTCTGATTATTAGTAGATTGCTAGCTGAATTTGTAACCATTGGTAAATATTTTAATACACTAACATTCCTCAGATCTCAGGCCTCTAAGAATAAAGCACAACTTCCAAATTCTATTTTAAAACACCAGAGTTAGTACAATATTAAGTTTATGTTTTTATATTTTCTAGAGCTCTGAATAAATAGAAATTATGTATTTCTCAGCTTATAGAAAATAACAGTGAATTATGCTGGTCTTCTTGAGAGAGGTTTAACCATAGATTATAATATGTATTTGGCTAAAAAGCAATTAATAAAATTATAGCAGAGTTAAGAATTTAGATCATTAATAACATTTTAATGTTTTAATAAAGAAAATATCCCAGAATTTGAATTGGAAAGAGTATTTGAAATGATATTCTTTTTTACATATGAGGAAAAAGTAAAGAGAGGACATGTAAGTTGCCCAAGATACATTAATTCATGGCTTCTACAGTTACTTCAGTATAAAAACTGAATCATTTGCTAGACCAGGAATGCTAGTTATATATTTAATTAACTTCAGAATTGGTAGCAACTCCTCTAGTTTATGGCTTTCTCACAAACATCTTTAAGCAAAAAATTGCACCATATTTTACTTTTCTAAATACAGGAGAAGTTCAAACTAATAAATGTCAGAAATTGCTGCTCTAGGCAGAATTCTCACCTAACCTTATGTTTATCTGATTTTGAAATGACATATCTTTGGTCCTAAAAGATGACTTTATCTTTTGAAATAATCTAGCTGTGTTTACTTTCACAGACCATTAATGCTTAATTTTAAAGGATTAAGTAGCTTAGTATTTTCTATGAGAAATTTTCAGCTGTGTAATCAGATGTCTGGTTATTGGTTAGGACTGCCAGAATTGAAGTGATTAATTTTGCAAATATATATAGTAGGAAGCTGCAATTTTAATAGATGAAATTTCATAGGATAAAAGCAAAATTGAATTGAGAGCTAATAATGGAATAAAATGTGGAAACAAAAGTGGAATGACACTAGCTTTCAATAAATAGATAAGGTAATTAGTTTTGTAGGAACACAGAAGAATTAATAGTCATATATTTTATTTTCAAAGTTTTATAAATCCAAAAAGGAAAATTAGTGTACTTCTATACGTTTTTCTCTTAACTTTTGATATTTCCATTTCAGGCCATTTATTTCTCAGAAAATTCACTTTCCTGACTTTTCTACCAGAGACATACATAGAAATTATGTCGATTGTGTGCGATGGTTAGGTGATTTGATACTTTCCAAGGTACGGTAACTGCAGTTAAGCTGTATTTCCATTGTTTGAGTTGGAACTTTGCAGGGAGCAGTTTTTTATGCAGTTTGGTAAATTGGATAGCAGATGGGAAATAGCTTTTTTTTAAGTGTCATGATACTTTGAAAGATTTAGAAACTTGTTTCAGGCATAAAACATCCTGATGAGTTATAATTTGTGCTCCAGTAGGATGAAAAATGTTAACTTGCAAAATGATATCCAGTGTTACTGTAAAAAACAGTTTCTAGAGCCAGTAGTGTGGTGGGTTTTTTTGTTTGTGTCCATTTCAGTAAACTTATATGTACAAAAACAGTTGGAGTTGGCTCATGGGCTATAGTTTGCCAACCCCTGCTCTAGTATGTTGATGTATGTATTTATATATATTTTTTACTGATAATTGAGAGAAGTTGGTGGTGATGTCATCTGAACATTTAGGACTGTCAAATTTGGAGAAATTGCTATCCAGTTTCTTTTCTTGATGTGGATTTCAGGACATTTCACATTTTCTTGGACAGAGCCTGATTTACTTTTTTCTTGGCCATGATGGTATAGTTTTACCTTTATATTTTTAACTTTAGATCTTGAAATTAGATTCACAGGAAGTTTCAAAGATAGTTCAGAGAGGTCCCATATTGTCCTTCAACCAGTTGCCCCCAGTGGTTTACAGCTTACATAACTATAATATAATATCAAATCCAGGAAATTGACATTGTACAATGTGTGTGTGTAGTTCTATGTCATTTTATCACATGTGATTTTGTCATTTCAAGACTGTTATAGTATGGGATGTTTTAAGATTTTTTTTTTCCTACTCATTATAATGCCATCCAGGTTGTTGTGTGTATCAGTAGGTCTCCCTTTTTATTGCTGAGTAGTATTCCATGGTATGGATGTACCACCGTTTATTTAAACTTTATTCATCTATTGTAGGACATTTTGGTCCTTTCCAGTTTTGGGCTACTAGAAATAAAGCAGCTAATTAACAATCGTGTACAGGTTTTTGTGTGGACTTAAGTTTTCATTTCTCTGGGATAAATGCCTAGAAGGGCATTTGCTGGGTCATGGTTAAGTTTGTTTAGTTTTTAAGAAACTGCCAAACTATTTTCCAGAGTGGCCGTGCCATTTTACATTCCCACCAGCAATGTATGAAAGATCCAGTGTCTTCGAATCTTCGCCGGCATTTGGTATTGTCACTATTTTTTATTTTAGCTGTTCTGATAGGTGTGTAGTGATACTTCATCGTGGTCTTAATTTGCATTTCCCTGATGGCTAGTGATGTTGAACATCTTTTTCATGTGCTTATTTACCATCCATATATCCTTTCAATGATGTCTCTTCATATCTTCTGCTCATTTTCTAATTGGATTGGTTTTTGTTTTGTTTTGTTTTTTACTGTTGAGTTTTGAGAGTTCTTCATATATTCTAAATATGAATCCTGGCAGATAAGTAGTTTGCAGATACTTTCTTCCAATCTACGGCTTGTCTTTTCATCCTTTTAACAGGGTCTTTTGCAGAGAAGATATTTTGAATTTTGATAAAATTCAATTAATTTATTGATTAAAAAAATTTTATGGATCATGCTTTTGATATTGTGTTTAAATGCTCTTCACTGAGCCCTACACATTTTAAAGATTTTCTGCTGTATTTCCTTCAGAAAGTTTTATAACGTTTTCTGTTAAATTTATTATGGTCCATTTTAAGTTGATTTTTATGAGGTTTAGGTAGAAAGTTCATTTTTTGCCTATAGTTGTCCAGTTGTTTTAGTACCATTTGTTGAAAGCCTATCTTTCCTTCTTTGAATTGCCTTTGTACTTTTTTCAAAATTGTTTGGCCTTACTTGTTTGAGGCTGTTTCTGGTTTTTCTATTCTGTTCCCTCTACCAGTACTATGTACACAGTCTTGGTTACTCTAGTGCTTTAGTAAGTTTTGGATTTGGTAAAGTGATTTCTTCTCCTCTATTCTTTTTCAAAAAATCTTGCTGGGATTTTTTTGAGGGGGGGAAGAGGGATTTTGATTGGAATTGTGTTAAACCTATGTATCAATTTGGTGGAGAATTAATATCTTTACTCTGCTCAATCTTCAAGCCCTTGAATGTGGTATGTCTCTTCATTTAGACCTTTTTTGATTTTTATTATCAGCATTTTGTAGTTTAGTCCTGTATCTGCTTTGTTAGATTTATATCTAGTTACTTCTCTTTTTTGAGTATTATAACAAATGATATTTTTGATTCCATTTTATGTGTCTATTGCTAGTATATATAAATTGATTTTTGCATATTAATCTTGAATCCTTTTATCTATTTGAACTGCTGATCGTTCAGAAAGTTTTTTTTGTTGTTGTTAATTACTTGGGATTTTCTACATAGACCATCATTTCATCTGAAAATAGGAACAGTTTTATATTTTCCTTTCTGATTTGGATGGTTTTTATTTCCTTTTCTTGTTTGATTACACTGGCAAACTTCTGGTCCTATGTTGAATAGCAGTGTTAAGAGCAGACATCCTAGACTTGTTTCTGATGTTACAGAGGGAAGGAATTCAGTCTTTCTAATTAGATATATCAGCTGTTTGTTTTTTGTAGATATTCTCTATCAAGTTGAGGACCATCTGCTTTCCTGATTCTTTTCAGAGTTTTATCATGAATGGGTGTTGAATTTTGTCAAGTGCTTTTTCTGCACTTGATAAGATCATTGATTTTTCTTTTTTTTAGCCTGTTAATGTAGTGGATTGTATTCATTGGTTTTAAATATTGTGTTGCTGGAATGGAGTAAGTTTACTTGGTCATGCTGCATAATTCTTTTTATATGTTGCTGAATTCTGTTTGCTAATATTTTGTTAAAGAATTTTATGTGTATTAATAAGATATAATATTGGTCTGAAGTTTTCTTATTTGTATTGTCTTCATTTGATTTTGGTATCAGTAATACTGGCATCTGAGCCTAGAGCTTTTTGAGGGGGAGTTTAAAAATTAAGAATTCTATTTCCTTAAAAGTGAAAAGGTTATTGAAATGAATTGCTTCATATTGGTTGAGTTGTAGTTTGTGCTGCTTGAGGAGTTGGTTTATTTCATCTCATAAAATTTATGTGTATAGAGTTGTTTTGTAGTATTCCCTTATCCTTTCGATATCTGCAAGGTCTCTAGTGATAGCTCCTGTTTCATTCCTGAAATTGGTAATTCGAGTCTTCTTTTCTTTTGTCAATCTTGTTAGGAGCTTGTCCTAGGATTTGCTGCTGTCATTGTTGCTGTTGCTGCTGCCGCTGTTATCTCCTACCTTCTTTCCTTTTGTTCCCTGTGAGTGTATTTTGCTCTTCTGTTTACTAGTTTCTTAAGGTGGGAATTTAGATTATTGAGTTGAGACTTTTCTAATGTAAGCTTTTGGTGCTATAAATTTCCCTGTCAGCAGTGCTTTAGCTGCAGCTCACACAAATTTTGATATGAAGTATGTTGTTCAGTTTCTAGGTTTTGGGAAATTTTCTTGTTTCGACTCTAGTTTGATTCTGTTGTGGGCAGAAAATGTTCTTTAGGATTTTGATTCTTTTAAACTTTTTGAGATTTGTTTTATGACCCTGTTTTAGGGATGTTCTGTGGGAGCTTGAAAAAAATACATATTCTGCTGTTGGGTAGAGTGGCTGTCGGTGTCAGTTAGATCCTGTTGGTTGATGGTATGGTTGAATTCTTCTATGTCTGTTGATTTTCTGTCTACTTGTTTTATCAATTACTGAGGGATAAGTGTTGAAGTCTCCAGCTATAATTATGAATTTCCCTTTCTCCTTTTCAGTCTGTGTTGTTTTGCAGCTGTGTTGTTTGGTGTATACATATTTGGTATTGCTGTATCTTGGTGGCTTCATCTCTTTTATCATTATATAAAGTCCACCTCGATCTCTGGTAATTTTTTTTACTTTTGATATCTCCTTTATCTGATAGTAGTATAGCCATTCCTGCTTTCTTTTGATTAATGTGTGCATGGTAAATCTTTTTTAAACCTTTTACCTTTAATCTACTTGTATTGTTATGATGGAAGTGAGAGAGCATACAGTTGGGGCATATTTCTTAAATTCACTCTGCCAAAATGTCTTTTGGCTAGTGTATGCTTTGTATTTGAGGCTTAACTTAACAATTATTACATTAAATCTATCATTTAACCTTTTTCTTTTTTTTCATTTTTTCATTTCTCTGCATTTTTTTCCCCTAACTTCCTATAGGATGTATGAACCTATTTTAGAGTTCCTATTTGATTTATCTGTAGTACTTTTGAGTATATTTCTTTGTATAACCGTTTTGGTGTTTGCTCTAGATGGTACTATGTATATGATATATATGTGATCAGTCTACTGTATACCAGCATTCTACCACTTCAAGTGAAGTGTAGGAACCTTACTTCCCACTTTGTCCTTTATAATATAATTATCTTTACATATCTTTAAATATCTTAAATATTTACTTTATAGTTTTGAGAACTTCACCAAATAGTATTACAATTTTTGCTTCAGCCAGCAGACATAATTTAAAAACTCAAGAAGAAAGGGGGAATATTGTATTTACTCATTTTGCTTTTTCCATTGCTCATTCTTCCTTTTCAATATTCCAAGGTTCCTTCTTAAGTCATTTCCTTTCTGTTCATATAACTTCCTGTAGCCATTCTTTCAGGGTAGGTCTGCTGGTGACAAATTCTTTTAGTTTTTCTTAGTCTGGGGATATCCTCATTTCCCCTTCATTCCTGGAGCGTATATTCACTGAATATAGGATTTTGTGTTGATTGTCTTTTCGTTAAACATTTGAAAAATGTTGTTTCCCCTCTTTCAGCTCTCTATTGTTTCTGTTGAGACAGCTACCATCATAGGAATTGTTTTTCCTCTATAGGTAGGGTAGGTGTTCTGTCTTGACTATAGTCAGGATTTTTTCCCCTTTGTCCTTAGTTTTCAGAAGTTTGACTGTAATGTGTCTTAATATGGATTTCTTTTGAGTTTATCTCTTTGAGGTTTACTCACCTTCTTTAATCTGTAGTAGGGGACATTTGTCCCAAATTGGGAAACTTTTCAGCCATTATTCAAAGTATTTTTTAGCCCTGCTTCCCCCCACCCCCAGGAACTCCAATGATAAGAATATTAGATCTTTTGTTTGGTCCCTAAGACTCTGTCATTTAATAAGTTCTATTTTCTTTTGTTCAAAGTGGGTAATTTCTACTCTTATAACTTTAAATACACTGATTCTTTCATCTCTTCTCCTGTTGAGCCCTTCAGTTGTTTTTTTATTTTGGTTATAGTTTTTTTTTTTTCAGTTCTAAAATTTCCATTTGATTCTTATCTTTTATTTCTTTGCTAAGACTTTTTTTGTTTTGTTTTAAATGTGTTTGTAATTTCTCATTAAAGCATTTTCATGATGGCTGCTTTAAAATCTTGTCAGATAATTCTAACATGTTCTCTCAGTGTTGATAACTTTTCCACTAAAGTTGAAGTTTTACATTTCTTGGTATGACAAGTAAATTTAGATTGAAATGGATATTTTGGGTACTTTTACGAAACTCTGGATCTTACCTTCTACAGCAGGCTTTCTATGATAAATTTATAGCAGAAGGGGAGTGCTGCCTTATGATTGGCAGGTGGCAAGGGACGTCCAGTTTCCCCACTTGGTTGACTTGGTGATGGTGTCATTACATCTAGGGTGGGAGTTTAGGCTTTTCACTGGGCCTCAGGTGACACCACCCTAGCTGGGAGGGGCTGGAGGCCTCATTACTGCTCCCCAGGTAGTCTCCACTGACACTGAGAGTGGTGAGTGAGTGATTAACATCCTGACTCTCTGCTACCTGCTCTAATACCACCCCAGCTAGGGAGGAGAGTCATCTCATTCCCATGAGGGATGGGGAGGAGTCAGGGGTATTATGTATTTGAAGTGCTTCATTATCACCTGAGAAGGGATCCCCACTGAGACTTTGTTGGTTCGTATGTGGCAGGTCCACAGTTTTTTCTTGGTATTAAGTGTTTACCTGACAATTTTCTCTCTTGTTCCTGGTCCTTTGCAGAGAGGCTTTTGTTGGGGCCTTTAGTGGGGGTGGGGTGGGGATCTTCACTTGTTAGCATTGTTGAGTTGCTGCTTTCTCTAGCATCCAGTCTGGGATACATAAATAAAGCAGAAGAAAACCAAGAACTCAGCGTCCTTCATGTCCCAGGGTCCCTAACCAGTCTGCCTCCTCTCTACCTTTCATACTTTTAAGCTGTACTTAGTGAGACAAATTTGGGAAAGTGAATCTACTCTACTTGTTTTGGAAGCAGAAGTAGAAAGGCTAGCTCTAAAGTTTCTGCTTTTGGAACTTAATCAGATGATAGGAAAGGATTTCTACATTTTAAGTGGGAGGCTGAACTGAATATTGGTGGTCTCAAATCTGGCTCTGCATCAGAATTATTGGGAGGACACTGTAAAAAGAGATTCCTAGGCCTCACTCCCAGAGACTGAATCTAGCACAAGGACCTGGAATTCGTAATTTTTAAAAACTCTCCAGATGATTTTTGAGTGCAGCCGTCCATTAGTGTGGGTAAATTCTTTTTACCTCCCTATGCTTTAGTTCTCCATGAGGCAACTCTCTGCTCATTAAGGATCCTTTACCAGTGCAGTCAGTAAGAAGCATTTGAAGAAGTGTTTTATAATTCTGCTGCTTTGACCTCTTCTCTCAGAAATTCTGATTCAGTAGGGTTGGGGCGAAGGTGAGTTTTTAAAGAAATCTCTACAGGTTGTTGATTCAACTGTACACTTAAGAGTCACCAGACTAGGCAATCTCTAAGGTACTTTACAGTAAAGTTGTATAATAGATCTATAGCTGGAGGATTTTACATAATCTAAAATAAAGACAGAGAAGAAAAAAAGCATGTCATCCACTCCCTAATCTCACTATGGCCCTGCTGTTAAACTGTTTAAATGATAGTGAACCCCACAGGGCTACCACATGTGGTTGTGTGAGATGTGTCCTGTAAGATTCCAGGAAGCGTTCTTCACCTACACCAGGATTTCTCAATCCTGGCCCTGTTGAGGTTGGTCAGACAATTCTTTTTTGTGAGAGGAGCTGTTCTGTGCTTTGTAGGGTGTTCAGCATCTCTGGTCTCTAGAAGCCAGAGATATTGCCAAATATCCCTTAAGGGGAAACCACTGACCTACACAGTAATATAATAGTGCCCTCTGTTTTGCTTTTTTTTCTCCCATTGTGTTCTTTACCACTTGCTGCTTAGGTATATTGTGTGTAAAGATTCAGTTTAACAGGATAGGTAAGGTATAACAGCCTTATTTCATTCCCATCCCCTTATCAATGTCTTGGTATTAAACCACTGCTTTTATTGCCTTCTGTATAATCTGATTTCTGAGGCCCTTTCTATGAATTTATTAGCTTTTCTGTGACTTCAGTTGAGTACTTACTGTTGTAGCTCAGACACTGGGGATGAAAGATTAATAGCTAACCAGATAAAGGGAACCATGTGGGGTTAGAAGTAGGATGGGGAGAGATGAAACTAGTGAAGTAAGCAGGGGCCATATTGAAGAGCCATGTATTCTAATACAGTGTTTGTAATTTTACCTTTGCTATAAAACACTTCAAGTCTCTGGATGCTAAAGTATCTGGGGCTGAATTTGGTTTGGTTTGGAAGAGAAATTGTGAGTTCAAAAATGAATGTTCTAGACAGTGTAATGTTTTTGTATTGTCAAAATCTGTTGATAATCAGACTTCTTGTCCATAAGTGTGGACACTGACTCTATAAATATAAATGAATGTATATCACTGTACTCAGTAGATGGATAACCAAGTTCTAAGAACTGTGAGTTCTAAAATAAATGATAGTAGAGAAAAAACGTTATTTTTAATATTTAAAATTCAGTTCTACAAGTTTAACATTACTTTTTTTCTCATTTCTGTCTCTCTTTTTTGAAGTCTTGTGAAAATGCCATTGTGTGCTGGAAACCTGGCAAAATGGAAGATGATATAGATAAAATTAAACCCAGTGAGTCTAATGTGACTATTCTTGGACGATTTGATTACAGCCAGTGTGACATTTGGTACATGAGGTTTTCTATGGATTTCTGGCAAAAGGTAGTAACATATTTTTACATTCTGAAATTATTTGACCTAAAACCATGGCAATTTTAGTTTTCTCTGTAGTGCATCTGTGTTCTGTTTCCTCTAAGATTAAGCTAACTTGATTTTTTTTGTATTCATTGCTTTGGCCTTTGATGTTATTTATTCTGCCCTTGTGGCTCTGCACACCATTTGCAGTGCTTATTATAAATGAAATTGACAGGTGTCAATAGTGGCAGTTAGGTGTTTACCTTCCATAACATCTATTACTAAGATTTAATGTTTTGGTGATTAGAGTGTTAATCTTTTAATAAAGCTTTTTCCTAGAAAAACCAGCATGGAAGATAGAGACAAAATACTAGTTATCTAAAATTTTAAAGAAATTTAGTGTTAGGATTTTGTGGTAACAAATTACTTGGGTATTTATTTCCATAAGAAAGCTTTGGAAGTTTTCTGTGGCTTTTACTACAACTCTTTAGGGCAGAATAGAGTATGTGCTAACAATGTAAATTATAAAGTTCTTCATAAATCTGTAAAATGCCTTCTTAATTTACTCAGGAACACCTTTGTGATGTATAAGTTGCTCTTATTCCCATTTACAAATCAGAAATACAAGATGCAAAGAAATCAAGACCATTGCCATAGGCTGGAGCTGAGGTTTTTCTGAAATGAGGAAGATGTCTTAGGATTGCTTGAAATCACTATAGCTTATTTTAATAAGTTGACATCTTTTTAAATTTGTTTATACAGATGCTTGCATTGGGCAATCAGGTTGGCAAACTTTATGTTTGGGATTTAGAAGTAGAAGATCCTCATAAAGCCAAGTAAGTATTTAGAAATTCCTCTCCATAATTTCTGCCTCTTTCTCCAAAGTGTTATGCCAGTATAGAGGAAGTAATTGATCCTTGCAATGCCATCCTCAGATCATCTGTAACATTTACATTCTCAGAATATTGTAAAGGATTTCTTTTTATTATAATAGTGATTGTTTTTCATGAGTACCTTGGTGACAAAAAAGTTAAACAGTGCCACTTGGATTTAAAATGTACCCAAATTTTATGAAATTTGAGATTGGGCTCTTAGTGAAGTATATTCTGGTTTCAAGTGTTTTCTATATGACTTTGAACATCTATTCATTTTCTGATTCATTGTTTCAAGTTAGATGCTGACAACATTATGTATGGTATTTAACCTGTTGTCCTATTTTCTCCCTAGATGTACAACGCTGACTCATCATAAATGTGGTGCTGCTATTCGACAAACCAGTTTTAGCAGGGATAGCAGCATTCTTATAGCTGTTTGTGATGATGCCAGTATTTGGCGCTGGGACCGACTTCGATAAAACACTTTTTCCTAATCAAAATTAGAGTGTGTTTTCTGTGTACCATAGAATTAATGTATCTTGCTAGTAAGGGCACATAGAGCATTTAGAGTTGTCTTTCAGCATCCAATCAGGCTGAGCTGAATGTAGTGATGTTTACATTGTTTACACTCTTTGTACTGTCTCCTGCTCAGACTCTACTGCTTTTAATAAAAATTTATTTTTGTAAAGCTGTGTGTTATTTTAGTTTATTTTCATTGTGATGAAAAGAAATGTTGAAAGTAATAAAATTACACCTTATCTTTTCGCAATGATTATTTTGTTTGCTTAACCGGAGAATGCTATATAATATAGTGATGAAGTATAAGTGCTAGAATTAAACTGAACTTAAATCTTGGCTCTGTTACTAACTGACCTTTGGTAAGTAACTTAACATCTCTGTGCCTCAGTTTCCTTGTCTGTAAAACCTACCTCATAGGGTTATTTTAAGGGTCAGATGATTTAATACATGTGATGCAATTAGGATAGTACTTGACATACACTAAACCCTTATCTTTATTGGAAATTATATTTCCTATGGCTTTATACTTCTTAATTATTTCTTCTGTAGTAATTATGTTTAAATTCTATAGAGTTATGACATAATAATGTTTTAATAACCTATCTTTACAGTTAAAAATATTATTGCCATTCAGTTTACAACTTGGCCATTAGTAATCTTACTGGAAACATTTTCAAAGCAAGGGAGAGAGGACATAGAAGCTTAAATGCAGTGAGTTGAAAAATGAGAGAAAGGGGGAGTATGTTTATACATTGTCCCCTTTTCTAGAAGGGTGTTAGTTAATAGAAATAAATAAATTGAGGATATCATAGAGTTGAAAGTAGTTGGTGATTTTGTCCCATAGGGTGATTTGCTTACATTTATGGGAAAGAAACAGCAAGAATGGAATTGAGATATAAAAGACTAGAAAAATCCTCAAAGAGTTAGGACCAAGATGACATGCGGAGTGTTTAACCTGAAGCAGAAGAATGAAGAAAACCTAAGTGGTCATAAAGATACGGTAGGCGATGAAATGAAGGGAATCAGGGTAACATACAAAAGACTGAACTTTGTCAAGTTTCTAGGTTTATGAACCTATTCTATATATCTTTTCATACATTTCCATGAATAAGCCACTATTTAATACCTTTTGGGACACAGTAGTTGCTTTCAATTTTTTGCTATTTAAATAATGTTTTGATTAACAGCCCAGTACACAAGTCTTTGTGTACCTCCCTGATTATCTCCTTAGACTCATTTGTCAGAATCTGTTACTAAATGAAAGGGTATTTTTATTGAGGTTGAACCAAATTCAGTTGCTCCAGGAGTGTATGCTAGTGTCTGCTTCAGTTTTGTTTTTAGTTTCTGTGTATATCTCTGTAGATCAGAGGTCAGCAAACTTTTTCTGTAAAGGGTCAGTAAATATTTCAGGCCTTGTGAGCCATACAGTCTCCACCACATCCGCTCCGCTGAGCTGCTGTAGCATGAAACCAGCCATGAAACAATTGTGTGAACAAATTAGCCTGGCTGTGCTCCAGAAAACAAGCAGTGGGCTGTACTGCAAGCCATACAAGCCATAGTTTGCTAACCCTTGCTGTGGATGTTAGCTCTCAAAACAAGGACACTTAAAGGGGCCCCTAAGATTGCTGAAAATTTAGGTTATCCAAATAGCTCAAAAATCAAAGATCACCAGACAGAAAATGAAACAAGCTGCTATGAAAGTTGAAACAATACACTGAGACCACCAAAGATTCTGGAGTTACCAGACAATATAAAAGGGCCATATTTAAAGTTGAATTCTCCTCTCTCTACTCACTCTTCTCTTCCTTGTTTATTTTCCATCAACTATCACCTAATATACTGCATAAGTTACTTGGTTGTATTTCTCCCACTGGGATGTAGGCTTTATGAGAGTGGATTTTTCTTTTTCCTGTTTCATTTCATTGGTATAACCCTAGTACTTAGAACAGTGACTTGCACTTGGGTCCTCAAATATCTGTTCAATGATTGAAACACTTAAAGAAATAAGAGGCAATCACAAAATGAGCAAGCAGTGAGACTCCCAACACTGACCAGGATTTGAAAAAGAAATAGGACTTTCAGAAATAAAATGTGACGAAACTCAGTGGATAGGTTAGACAGTAGATTACACACAGCCTGAACAGAGATTAGTGAACTGAAAGAGAGCCTGAGATGACTTAGAAATGTGACACACGTAGAGAATCAAGAAAATGGGGAATATGAGGAGTTAACAACTACAGAGGACAAAATGAGAAGATCTAATAATACATTTAATTGGCAATGCAGAATAAAATGAAGGATAGGCAGTGTTTGAAGTAATTATTTTACTTGCTTCCATGATATGTAAGTGCCATGTGGGCATGTATGATGGAGCTGGGAGAATTGGTGGCTCTGGCATCTTCCTTACCATCATGTCTCCTCCCACTTCCATTGCTCTTAAAGGATAGGAGCCAAGGATTGGCATTCCTACACTGTGGGTCTACAGGGCCTGATGCTTGATCTAAGCTCCCTCTTCCAGTCATCCACCACAGGTATTCCAGTGCTATAAGGAGCCACAAGTTCTCCATTTAATTCCAAATGGTGGAGCCAGTTTTCTTCCTGGATTACAACTGCGCTTTGATAATGAAGGAAGGTGCACACTTCGCTCACCTGGACCTCCAACCCAAAACAGAACCAAGGACCCTGTTTAGCAGAGGTGTTAAATACCATGACACTGTCCGTGCAGGTCAAGATTATGTTCATTGCCCCCAAGGGAGCCAACATCATGATACACTCTTGGGTAAGGGACACAAGATTCTTGTTGATGGAAATCAGAGCGAAGTCTTTCTGGAGCCCCATGTGCTTCATGGGCTCCACACACCCAGATCTTTGGAAAGAAACGTAGAATAGTTCAAGAGGAACAGGCTGCTATCAGTTCTATTTCTAGTCATGAAGGCAGGGTCAGCTTTATAATTTGCAGGGGCTACTGCAAAATGAAAATGCAAACCTCTTGTTTAAAAAGCATAAAAAAGGTAAGGTACTGCCAAAGCTTTTACCTTCTGTGATTTCTTTCTTGACTTTCATTTTTATATTTGCTTTTTAATGCCATTCTAAGTAAAGTTAAAATTTTATGTTATCAACATGAATTTTACCATTCATCTTCTTACTGTTTAGTGAAGTTTTCAATGCAAACATAAAAGCACTTGACTCCTGTGTGGAATCACTGAAATTACATACTTGGTATTTTATAGCTCATACATTCACGTGTATTTTGTTCTTACCAGCACAGTGGCAATGCTGGACAAAAGTAAGTCAACTTTTTATTTCACTTTTTGGTACCACACATTATTCTCTGTATTTGACTTACTGATGTCTAAGGACAAACTGAAGGAAAAATAAACTATCAATTGCCCTATCATTCCCTTTTCTTCAATGTCATAATCTTTGGTGTAAGTGGTTGGTTAATACAAGGAGTTGACAGAAGCAAGAATAGGGTTCCTCGGTTGTTTGAGTTTCTTAAAATGTCATGTCTTTGTTCAAACCAAGTTCTGGTTCAAACTGAAAGCATGGCCTCTGGGGGTTGTCAGCATCCCTGCCTGCTCAACTGTAGATGGAACACGCTCACCTTATGCTCATTTTGGGTCTTCCTGAATTCCACACATAATGAGTCTAATGGGATTCTTTGCTCATAAGGAATCACAAATGTCATGTGTGAAGAAAGGCAGAGAACAGCAGGCATGCCTATTGCATGTATCCCCTCTATTCACACCACGCTGCATTGTCACATTGCACTTTACAAGATGCAAGTTCAAAGATTGAATTATTAAGAATGTCAAGATGGGACAGCAGAGCAATTAAACAAAGCATGGGGTCTTTCTGAGCTCAGTGCCCTACACTACTCTATCTGTCACATGCCCATGAAGCTGACTCAGCCAGGAGCTGACTTGCAGTCCTGTGCCTCCCTTTTCCCAGCAGCTCCATCTGGTACTGACATCTCTGTTGATAGGTTTTCATTTCTTTTCTAAACTATTTAGTCTTGTTATCAGTCTCTTTCTGGCTCTATTTTGATGTCCTTCAGCTATTTAAGTAAAATGAATAGAACAGTTGCCACCTTCTCCCCTTTGCCCCACATTTGCCCCCAAAGAAAAATAATTGTATTTGTTTCAGCAGTAGGAAGTAGGGGAGAAGCTGGGAGCCATATTGTGCTCTTTGGGGAGGAGACCTGAGTCTGAAGAAATCTATGAGTCAGAGAAGATGGTTGCTGTTGTAGAGATGACAAGTACAATGAGATCCACAGACATTTAGAAGAGAAATAATGGGCTAGGAAAGGACTAGGATGTGGCTTTAGGTGCATCATACTATGACAGAATACTGAACAAAGATCAGATGGAAATTAAATTATTTAAAAGGTTTTTTTTTAAAGGAAATGCCTGAGAAGGACAGAGGTCTAAAGATTTAATGGTCACTTGTCCAGAAATCCTTAAAGAATTAAAATGTTCACTTGAGGCAAAGGGGATAGTCATTCCGCTTAATTGCATCTTCAAGCTTGGATGAGGTATCTTTTTAAAAAAATGCAACCCCCAGTAAGAAACAGACTATATATATATTACATCCCAATCACACACACATATACATATGTAACTGAAACAAGGAGTTCCACGAAAAAGTATACATGTGGGATGCATTCTGAAAAAAAATTTTACTTTCTTATTTTTAAATTTATTTATTTTACAATATCATATTTCTTAAATTGAAGTATAGTTGACATACAATATTATATGTTATAAGTATACAATATAGTAATTCACAATTTTTAAAGGTTATACTCCATTTATAGTTATTATAAAATATTGGCTATATTCCCCATGTTGTACAATACATCCTTGTAGCTTATTTTATACCTGATAGTTTATAGCTCTTAATCCTCCACTTCCATCTCGACTCTCCCCATCCCTCTCCCCACTGCTAACCACTAGTTCCATCTCTACATCTGTAAGTCTGCTTCTTTTCTGTTATATTCACTAGTTTGTTGTATTTTTTCACTCTACATGTAAGTGATATCTTACGTTATTTGTCTTTCTCTGATTTATTTCACTTAGCATAATGCCCTCCAAGTCCATCCATGCTGTACACCAGAAACTAATACATTTTAAGTCAACTGTACTTCAATTAAAAAGCAAACAACCAGAAACAGACAATATATATAGAAACAGACTATATATATATATA